CCTGGGGGCGGCGACCACCGCTTTGTCTGAGAACAATGCGGAGAGGGAAGGGGGCGCGGGGCGGAACCCGAGGAGGAGCAGGGGGCGGGGCCTCGAGCCCCCAGACTGTCCCGTGGGTCTCCGCTCGGGAAGTCTCCTCTGGGCGGTTTGCATCCCAACCACCTCAGTCGGTGCCCAGTCCTCAGAGAGCCTCACTTCCGTGGACCCGGAGAAAGATTTAGGGGACCAGACACCCCCACCCCCACCCGTCCCCACTAGCTCACCGACCCAGGGCGGCGGCCAGTGACTCAGGGCCCTCCAGGGACTTTGGGAGGAAGCTGCAGCTGCTCGGAGCCGGGCCCGCCCTTCCCATCTTCCCGGGCCAGTCTTTGTGGCTGCAGGGCCGGTCAGCGCCGCCTCCCCCTCGGCCCCTGCCCCTCGCTGTGTGGACGGGACTGCGGGGAGGGGGAGAGAGGTGCACCGAGCCAGCAGCTTTAAGAGCTTGTCCCTCTAATCGGATCGCGGTGCCACTCTCTAGCTTCAACCTGTCTAGGGTTGGGTTGGGGGGGCGGGGAGCAAGGAGAGGACCGGAATGTGGGAGAAGGGGGATTGGGCAGCTCCCGGGAAGGTTGGGGCGGGTCCCAGGGCAGTGGCCACCTCCCTGCAGTCGCCAGAGGGCACGGTGGCTGCTCCCACTGTAGTTTGACGCGGCCAGGCTCACGCTTTCCCTCCCAATACGCGAAGACACTGAAGATGACAGGCGAGATGTAGAAAAATTAGGCTGTTTTATTTTCCTACAGTGCTCGTACCTCGGGGGGAGCCTTAGGCTACCCCAATTAATCCTCTCAACTAGGTCCCGGGGAAGGCGCCCAAGGGTGGGGCCCCAGGCGGTGGAGTGATATCTGGGCCCTGGAGGGGCCCATTCCAGTCAAACTTGCAGGCTCTGGTCCAGCTCCGTGGGAGGGTAACTAGCTGCAGACAGGGGGAATACCTGAGAAACAGACTGGGGCCTGGCCTGGGGGTTCTTCCGTGGACAGAGGCTCCCAGGGGGTTCAAGTCATAGCTGGTGAGGGGGCAGAAAAGCTCCACGGGTCCTTATTTAGGGAGAAGGGTGGGCCCTCTGGCTGGTGAGAGGTGGACCTTGGAAACCAAGGAGAAACTAAGAAGTTAAGATATGGGGCTGACCCCAAGGAGTGGAGGCTCAAGTGTGGGGGCAGGGGAGCAGCCCCTAGAGCTCAGAGATGGGGGGCTCTGGCTTGAAGCAGCCAGCACTTGGATACTGAGGGATTCAGAATTTTGCGGAGAGAGGATGTAGGGGGCTTGTAAGCAGCGGGCAGTTAATTCTCATTCAGCCTCCGTATCCTGAGGCCGGGAAAGCAGGTGGAGTTTTCTTTGCAGTTGGACCTGGAGGTACTGCAGGTCCTGCTGGTCCAGCCCATGAGCCAAGCCCAGGTAGAGAGTGAGAAGGAGGGCAAGGAGGAGGCGGTCAGTGCCCAACGAGGGCACCACCCACAGCACGGTCAGCAGCTCCACACACACGGGGTGGCGCAGATGGGCGAAGAGCCTCAGAGCCCGCGGGGACTTCAGAGCAAGGGGTTCCCCCAGCCCCAGAACATGGTAGTACACCTAGGAGGGGGAGAACAACTTAGAAATGAAATCAAGCCCATTTCATAACTTAGCACCCCCTCTTTCCTCTTCTCCCAGGCACCCCCCCCCCTAGAACGCAGGCCCAGGTACGTCTTCTCTGAAAGTGGGCCCCTGACCCTGCTATATGGTCTGTGCATGCCTCTAGACTCAGGAGCCCAGGGCCTTTGAAGGAGAACTGAGGGGAGACTGTCAGGAAGGGAGATGGGGGGAAGGAATGGGATCCTTGGAAGGGGGAGCCTTGAAGGAGCTGGAGGTCCCAGGTGAGGACTGCAGAGCCTCACCTGTTTGAGGCCCATGAGTTCGGCATAGTCGAAGATGAGAAGGATGCTGAAGATGAGGAGCCAGGAAATGATGTGGAGCACAAAGCAGAGGAGGGGCACCCACGTGGCCCAAGGCTCAGCCCGAACCTCCCACAGCACAGGACCTCTGGGCACGGGTTCCCAATACCGCATCACTAGCTGGAGAGAGATGAGGGGCTGGGTCTCCACCCCCAGAGAGATCCAGACCCAAAGGCTGCCCTCCCTCCTCAGCTCTTCCTCACCCTACCCTGTGGGGGTGATAAGGATATTGGAATCCTTTCTGTGTCTGTTCTGAGGACTCACAGTACAATAGGAACAAAGTTGCAGAATGCCAAGGACGCCCTTGGTAAAAAGTAGAATATGTGCTGTGGAGGAACTGAGGCTGAGGATGGAGCCATGAATACCCTCATCTTTAGGCCTAAACCCAAACTTTATCAGAAACTTAAGCTGCAGGCCCCTCTAACCCAGGGTACCCCTCCCAGAGACTGTTTGCCAGCCAGTCCCCATACCTGCAAGGCCAGAGCAGTGCATGCCACGTACAGTGATCTCTGCAGGACCCCAAAGTACCGAGACGACCACGCCTTCACCTTCTCAGTTGCCATGAGGCTGTGCTGCCCCACAAATAGTAGCAAGAGCCCCAGATCCCAAGCCAAGGGGGCAAGGATGCTGCGGTCCTGCAGCGCAGCCAACCACCCCTGGCGGACACCTAGGAGGAGTTGAGGAAGTGACAAAAGTTCAGCACAACCCCTAATCTCTGAGGGTCCCAGGCCATCTCTTTAATGCCTTCAAGAGCCTTCAGGCTTTCTGTCCAGGTGTGCCCATGTCACTTTTCCATTCACCTTCTTTCCCTCTTCCGCGGGAGCTTTCAGAACCCAAGGCGTAGGAGTCACAGACAAGGAACGTGGGGCAGTGAGAAAAGGCGTGGCTGCAAAGGCCACCCGGACTGCCCCTGTCCTTTCAGTGGTCCAAATTCTCCCCCGTCTTACCACTCCTCTCCACAAAGCCCTTTCCTTAAAATACTCTGTGCTCTCTCCCCATCAGCCTTCCCTCCCTCCCCAAACCGTTTATCCCCAACTTTCTCATTTAGCTGGGAGGGGAGGTCGCCTTGCCAGCCGCTGCCAACGTTCGAGTTCCCTCGCAGCGCTCGCCGGCTGTTTGGGACTCCAGGCCCCGCCCTCGCGCCCGGGCCTCCGGCTCCACCCCCGGTCCCGCAGGCTCACCGGGGCCGGACTCCGGAACGCCTCCCAGCAGCGGCCGGAGGGAGGTAAACCGCACGAACTCCACGCCCGTGCCGAAGGCCAGGATGAAGGAGGCGAGGGCGGCAGGGACCAGGAGCAGCGCGGGGGCCATGGCGAGAGGTGGAGGGGTGAGGACAGGGGCGGGGCCGGGGTTCCCGCTGCC